CAAGTCTGTCATCGGGATTGTAAAAAACAAAAAAAAAAGTCTTCCCAGATACTGACGCAATATTTGTTTACGGCAGGGTACAAAATGGATTCGCAGCTTTTTCTTCAATGTGGTTTGCCGGTTCCGCTCATAGCGAGCATCAGTCGGTCTACCTCAGAGCAACAGGCAGAGCCGAGGTTGGGGGTGGGGGGGGTGGATAAGTACGGACTCATTACGGTTGAAAAACAATCTCATCATTGTGGCAGATGAGCAGTAATTATGAACATTTTCAGTGAATTCATCTCGTGTGATTTTTTTTTTTTTTTTCTTTCTGTAAACTGTTGATCCGAGACACGCATGATGACCACATCTGTTTGTAGTTAGTATCGGGATCTTCTATTTCAGCCCATGTGTTTCCTGTCACGGAGTGAAAGGAAAAGAAAGATGGAAAATGTGTGTGGCCAGCGATTTCTATTTTTCTTGGGGAATGTCTTGTCTCTTGTCTCCCCTCTGATATTCAGGTCTGACCTGGACGCCCGGATTACTTCCCGCTCCTCTCTGCCCCCCCCCGCCCCCCCCCCTAAATTGAATAGAATTGCTGTCAATCTCCTGTTTATGTTGTTATTCATCACACTCGTGTCTTTGACTTTTCACCATCCACTCACTTGTATGCGCTCCCGTCTTTGTCAGAGACTGTAAATCTCGGTCTGCTCCGCGCCCGCGATGAAAAACTGTAAATCTCGGACCTGTTTGCAGCCACTCAATAAAGCGTCCTGTTCCTAAATAATGAAACTTGGGGGGGGAGGTTGATCTGGTCCTGTGTCAGGTCCTGGAGGGATGAGATGGGGGGGATATTGTTCCTATCTCCGGCTCCAATGAGGGGAATTAAGTGTAGCCGTGCTTCCAGCAGTACGCAGGAAGGGAGGACATTGTCCAATATACTCGGGGAGGGGGTGAAGGAGGGGGGGGGGGGGCACTGCCGGAGATAATAAAGCTCGATGATATTTTCTCATGCTGACAGATAATATTTGCTCAGACCGAACTACTGAAAGTCAGGGTGGACATGTGAGTCACCAGAAGTCAACACTAACTATAACTTTTGTTGGAATGGGGGGGGGGGGGTTGGGTCAGAGTAGTAGTTCACTATTATCAAGTCCTTTGTGTTGCATTTCAAGATAAAATGTGCTCAGCAAATCATGACTGATTGCTTTTGAGAAAAAAAAACAGCATTAATCATGATGGCACCAATAATAATATTATTTATAATCATTCAACCCTTCCATGCACAAATAATGACAACCTGTAACAAGATAACATGATAATCTGTCCACTGTAAGGGTCCCTGAAAGGGTTCAATAACTGGATTCAAATGCTCTTTAAGCAAACATTGTTGGCTGGTTAATTCGAGAAGGACAAACCCGCCATCTTTGCTTTTCTCAAAGTTTTCCATCACCTGGATGGGTGTTTCTGACCAGGAGAGATATGACCAAGATTAAGGAGATTTGCCTTCCCTCTCTTCGTCCTTTCTGCTAAATTCTGAAAGCCGATCACGTCCCTGAGGAGTTTCTCTTCTATGGGTGCCGGGGGGAAACTTCATCCCACCTAAGCGAGTCCTCGGAGAGGGACGGGCGGGCAGAGGAGAGGGGACACGACTCTCCTGACATCTGTTATGCGGAGTGTGGCATCTAATTTCCCTTCTGCTCAGAGGGGAGGGAAAAAAAAACAAAGGATGGAAGGTGCAAGGGAAGCAAACAATTAGGACGCAGAAAGGAAGCGTCTTTATCTGTGTTTGTGTCGCGCTCCCTTTTAAAGACTTAATAGAAAGGATGTGAGGTGACCTTTGGGATGACGTGGAGGGAGCGCTGTTTTGAAAATCAGCTTGAAAGACAAACCAGGGTGGCAATAATTGAGAAGCGCTGAAATACACGAGCGCAGTCGGATAAAGGAAAAAAAAAAGTGAAATAATAATTCAATCGCGATAACCTGTAACCCGATAACATGATAAGCTGTCCTTGTTCAATAATAATTCAATCGTGATAACCTGTAGCCCGATAACATGATAAGCTGTCCACTGTAGTGACCGCTGTCCCTCAAAGGGTTAATTTTTCGTTTTTTAAGAGTACTGTAAATGAAATTGTATTTCACATTTTAAATGTCTTATTTTTTTTAAATTTGTATTGAATTCAATGATTTTTTTTTCCCCCTCCATACCACTCGAGAGAACTCCAACCGCACTTTCGCTGAGTTAAGCCGACAAAAAAAAAAAAAACAAAGTTCACGTCGAACGTCTTTTATTCCATCTAATCGTAAGTCTAATGACAATCCACCGAAGAACAACGCCAAGAAAATGTGGTTCGGTAAATTTGGTTTTCTTGCAGTATAATATTTCTATTGAAGTGTTTTTGATGGAACACGATATATATATTTTGGAGTGACAGTAGTTCTCTTCCCGTCTCGAACTAAAGGCTTGACTGAAACCTTCCGTTTGTGTATTACCTTCTGTAATTTTTTTTTTCCATTCAAACCCAATCCTTCAAATTGAACAATACCAAGCGCCCGACTTCCCTCAGTGCAGCACTCCCACCCTGTCCAAGAACTTGCGATGCACTTGCCATGCACTTTAACGGGGTCAAAGTTCACCCATAGATATCCACCGGAGAGGTCAGCTTCATTAGGTTTTAATGATCCTCCCTGAGGGCAAGTTGTCGTCCTCGCACCCTTTACTCCTCAGCCGACTCAGCCCTTTTTTTTTTTTTAAACATCTGAGATGACAACCATTTCCAAACGTCAATAACATATTGAACCTATTCTTCAAACTGGCTTTCCTTTTCCCCCCTCCCCTTTCCGTGAAATGTAAATTAAACGAACCACCAAAGGCGTCGGAGCCGAATCAACAGGAATCCTCACTCGAACTGGCGCTGGGCGCACGCTGCAATCAACGAGAGGGCTGCGTTCATTTAACAAGCTGTCAGCAGGAGAGCGCTCAAATGGAAAATAGAATACACAAGCACGCAGCACAGGGGGATTTGGATGCGTTCCCAGTAATTATTGTATCATATGAATCGCCGGCGTTGCTTTGATCTGCCAGGTTGGGAGGAAACGCGGGTGCAAAATCTTCGACCCTTCGCAGGCGGGATTTTTGCTCTCGACGCCGGGTCCAATCGCACAAAGTAAACCGGTTTGACTTTGAAACCAATTAAAATCGGGCCTGTTCAAGTGGAGCTGGACGCGTAATTAAAGCCATCACGTGCCGTGTAATTTGCGAGCCATTCAGGAAGTTGTAATGAATAGACAGCAGCGGGATTGAGGGGATTAAAGGGTTTTTTTTTTTAAACTTTGATTCCTTTTTCCACTTGTGAGCTCAGTTGGAAGCTATGCGTTGCCTTTCGAATGAGCGTTCGGACCGGTGACACAAGCCCTTCCATTAACCGTCTCGACAACGCAAATCCCCGTTGTCATGCGTGTTTGCCAGCAAACCCAGAATGATGAGAGAATTGTTTCAATCTGTAGCTTCTCCCCCAAAAATTCCGCTTCCAGAGTTTTATCCTTAAATGAGACGGTTCGAGTGCGTGCGCCGAAATCTACGAAAACTCCAGCCATGCACGCCGTCAAACTGCACTTTATGCTCTACCCGCGCTAGGCAAGAAAATATATATTCCATGTTCAAGAATATTTCAAAAAAACTTTAACGCCAAATCATAGTGACAGTGAGACGTCGTACATATAAGCACATCCCCGCCGCCTATCAACAAGACAGTCACGTATTGATCCAGGCCGTCTCCCCTGCCGAGAAGGGCCCCGGCTCGCCTGAGAATGCAATTTGAATGCGTCAAGTGGGGAGGGTTGCCTATTTGTTTGTGAGGATAAAGATCGCATTTGTGTGTGTGTGTGCCTGTGCGTATGTGCGGCTCACACCACGCAACTCCATTAACCGGTCTGCGGGTATCGGTCTGCAGTTTATGATGAGCACGCTCACAGGTCAACAGGTCAAGGGTAAGGGGGAGAGGGTCAAAATATGTCAAAGGCCCCCCCCCCCCCTCCCAAAAGGTTCCCCAATCAGCTGGCTGAATTGATTGCTGAGACATCAGAAAGACCCTCCCCAACGTTAACCACATATTTAATACCAACCCCTTACCTGGACACTTTTGCGAGCTATCAACCTCTCATTTATGGAGAGGTATGCAATATTTTCATTGGCTGATCAGGAAAAGTAAATCAAGCTCAAAAGTAAAACTTTGATTGTATTATTTTAGTTGTCGTCGTCGGGTTGAATCAAACACCAAAAAAAAAAACTACATTGAAGAATAAACATTTTAGTCAGGATTTCAGCAGAGTTCCAAATACAAAAGTCTGAGGGAAAAAAAACAAACATTTCAGCAATATCTTGTCATCTTATAAATTAGGATCTCTGAAATAGGCTGTACATCTGAATGCGAGTACCATTTGTGGAGGCTCCGCGTGAAAAGTTTCAAATTAGAAGAGACTCCCGCAACATGAACATCACCGAGCAAAGCCCCTCGCTTTTTGCTCCTCTTTCCACCACATCTTCCCGTGCTTTCAATTTGGAAATTGAAAAGACAGTCCAGGGAATAGATTTGCACGGGAAGGAAATATAAATGCCTCTTATTGCGTATATGAGGCCTGTCAGAAAATTTCCAGGACTCATGTGACTGATGTCAGATTTATTTCAAATCCCGACTACAAGTTTTCATCGATCTGCAGTGATCTTGGTGACTCTCTTGAGCTTGGGGAAAAAAAAAAAAAACAAACAAAAACAAAAAAAACAGAGAGGCAGGTCAGGTGTTCTGCTCGGGTCAGGAACTGTCAGATGCTCAGGGTATCTCTTTGCAGGATCTCTTTGCAGATTTTTTGGCTGATTGTATGGCGCACATTGAAAGGAAAAACGCCTCCTTCCGCAGTTTAGATTTGAAATCCATCTTTTGTGATACCTGTCCTGGAACTTTTCCGACACACCCCATGGCACTTGATCTAAACTTAAAAACGCCGCCCACAAAAAAAAAAAAAAAAAAAAAAAAAAAGCGACCATTTATTTCGCATGATTGTTTTCTAAAGCCACCGAAACGATCGCAAGGCCTGTTTTGCACGATATCAACTTTGGTGAATGTCTCCGGTCAACTTTCAAACGCTTTGGTGTCAAGCTGTGTCATCCCAGCCAAAGTTCTGACCCGTCATTTGATAGAATTTGAGGTTAAAAGGTCTGTAAAAGTCTCTGAGCCGAAGCAGGACATCTGAGGGGATCTGCGGGTGGGGCCTGCCCTTTGACTTCCCCAGGCAGCGTGGCCTGCTGCTCCCCTCCGGCTTCTTCAGGCACGGGAAGCCTTTAGTCTGGTTGAAGTAAAAGTGCTTGTCTGTCACCACGCGTTTCAGTCCCAGGAAATCCTGGACGCGACCCATCTCTCCCGCGGGGTCCGTCACCAGGCGCTCTCCGCTGACGAACAGGAAGCTGGAAAGCGGGAAGTAGCGCAGCCAGTTCTCCAGGTGCTTGGCGTAGATCCCGATCCGCACCGCGCTCCAAGACGTGTCGATGAGGCCCGTGGTGGCGTTGCGGAAGGCCAAGTTCTTGAAGGACGGGAGGCCCGGTGACTTGGACACGGTCTGCGTGTAGTCGGAAACGGCGCGGGTCACGGGGTCCCGCACCACCACGATCAGCTTGGTGTGGCGACTCATGGAAAAAACACGGCGAGGGGCTTCCTTTGTGATGAAGTAACTGGGTGTCTTCTCCATGGTGATCTGACCATCCAGTGTCCGGGGCATCAGATTCCTGAGAAGAGAGACCGACAAAAAAATGCAATCAATATTAATGTGTGGAGTTTGCATGTTCTCCCCAGTGCCTGTGTGGGTTTTCTCCGGGTACTCCGGTTTAACTCCCACATTCCCAAAACACGCGTGGCAGGTTAACGGAACACTCAAAATTGTCCCTGGGTGTGATTGTGAGCGCGGATGGTTGGTTGTCGTTATGTGCCCTGCGATTGGCTGGCGACCAGTTCAGGGATAGGGATAGGCTCCAGCACACCCACGTGAGGATAAGCAGATCAGAAAATGGAAGGATGGATGGATGAATGTTTCCATAAGCACATCCTCTAATTTAAAAAATGTGTTTTTTTTTCATTTGGTGAGACTCATAAAGCTTAGATACTTTATGGGCTCCTCGATTGTTTGTTCTTGGCTATTAGTGGAGACTTAATATATGATTATTTTCTTTTTTGTTCATCTGACTTTTCAACATGCCGCTACACTTCAAAAAGTTTTACGACGCTCCCTCTTTCCTTCCTGTCATTTATGCGCACTCCGTTTTTACTAAAACACATCCACGCGAGGCATTCATTCAACAGTCACGTTTTATTTCGGGCTTGGAGTTTACGGCGGGCCGAGAGCCGCACCGCAAAATGCTTTTTCGAACCTTTCTGTTGCTTTTATTTAATGACATGAGAGGGACCCGATATTAAAAAACATCACTCAGTGGAAGTTCTGCATCACTGCGCTACAGTTAAATGTAAAAAGGTAGCCTTGACTTTTATAGCTTGGGAACGTACCTCCACCTTTTTTGGGGTCTGGAAAGGGAGTGGAATAATTACCCCCATGCGGCACATAATGGTATCTACCGTTTTCTCTAACTGTCTTCGACTTTAATACGTCTGTGGCAATGGCGTTATCTTTTTTAAAAAGTTTTTTTTTTTTTTGGGATAAAGCAAATAAATTTAACTATGCAGGTGTTCCTTTGTGGAAAGTGAGAGTATTTTTTCCCAATGAATGATAACCGGGCAAAAAAAAAAAAAAAGGTATGCGCCTACGGTACGTGAGGTTATCCAAGGATAATCTCACCGTGTTCTCATTAAATCCTGGCTATTGCTTTTGGCTCGCCGCTTATTATTGTTCTCGTCCGTTCTCGAGGTTTTTCGGGGGTGTTGACATATTTCTTGATTCATCGCTTGTAGAAGTTGATGACTCAAGTGGAGAGGATGTATTACCTTTTAAAAAAAAAAAAAACAATTTTCCTCATGCAAAAGGGAGACAAAAGTGGGGTGGGGAGGGGAGGGGGGTTATTTGGTCCGTGTCAGAGACATCTGACAGTAGGAGTCGTCTTAGTGGGGAGCAGCGCCAGGGTTAGAACTGCGAAAGCTCTCTCAGCGGATTTCAGCAAAGTTCCCCCGCCCCCGCCCCCTCCCTCCCTCCGGAGCAAGCATATTTAGACGGTTTGGGCTTTGCGGTTGGTATCTAAGTGGAAGGCTTATAGCGCTCTGAGCTTTGATGGGAGATGGCTCTTGGTCGTGTGATGTTATGTCAGGGCGACAGCAAGCACACGACTTTGGGTTTTAATAAGACATAAAGACGAGTTGTGCTCCGTGGGGGCTGGGGCGACACAAAGTCAGACAGCTTTTAGCAAAAAAAAAAACACCACAAGTAGAAAAGCTGAAAAAAAAATGGTTTCCAAACTAGCTTGTATGAGAATGTCTGAGGATTTGTTTGAAGGAAGCACTTGAGGCCAACGCGTGAGCGGCGGCCTCTCGCGCTGAGGCCACTCAAGTGAAACTGTGGTTCGCAGATTTATTTCAGGCACGGCGTGACGTGAGTGATGATATAGAATCCGGATCCAAGGAATGGTTAAAAACACTTTTGGGGAGGAAGTGCCAACTGAGAAGCCTCTTTGGATTTTTTTTTCCTTCTTTTTTTTTAATTTTTTTATTTTCGCTGCTGTAGTACATTCACTCATTTAATTTAACCCCTTTGAGGGACAGCGGTCACTACAGTGGACAGCGCATCATGTTCAGGTTAAAGGACGCATGAAAGGGTTTAATTACATGACAATACTTCACGATTGGTAAGTTGGTTTATTGGCTTGCTCGTAAGCAGGTTTACGTGTTGATGAAGTTCCATTCAATGGAACTGGGAAAACATTTCCCCCTCGAACCAAAATCCCAATCTGTTAATTCCGAACAAACCTAAAAAATAAATGCGTGACACCATTTTTCCACTTCGGGAGGAGGATTTTTTGTTTATTTTTATGTCATTTGAGTCACTAGCCTAGCATGAAAATGACGCGCGCTTCCCTGTCGTCTGATGTCCTAAACCGCGAAGCTGAAAATAACGTCACAAAAATGGACAGAAAATCAAACAAAATAACCCAAAAATTTTGGAGGACTTTATAGCCATTCCCACAGTTACAAAAAGTGTGGTCCAATCACCTTGCGCGATAGTAAAAGTAGCCCATTAGCATACGGCGGCTCAATATTTATAATATGAATTTTTATTGAGCAAATATCATCGATTAATAAATGATATGCATGCCTTATATAAAAGAATGCTTGTAATATATTGTATGTTTGTGAAAAGGAGTGGGGAAAATCCTCCGAGGGGAAGTGGAACGAATGTGCGTCCGCTCGTGTTGTAAACAGTACAAGAACTGTCTCTTCGCAAACATCCATGTTGCCTCCCTGGAAAGAAAACCTCGCACGGTTCACTTGACCTCAAGTCGATGTGAAAGCAACCGCTGGCCTGCAATCACGCAGGAAGCCCACACAGCGATTGAGAGGAGGAAGAAGAATGCCGGGTGGCGGTTAGCGACAAAGACACGCTAGAGGCAAAGCAAAGAGAGACGGTGGCTGGAAAGGAAGGAAAGAGTCGCAATCAAAACAAAAGTCACTCGCCAGACTGGAGCGCCGTTTTTATTTTTTTTTTTAATCAAGTAAAGTTGTTTTTTTTTCTTCCTGTTTGTACTTCAGGAGTCCTCAAACGAATTCACCCATTTCCCTCAAATTCAAGGGAACCAGGAAGTTACATTTCCCCTTTTGTGTTGGCATACGGCAGATTATCTGGCCATACAAACACGTTCTCACACTCACACACACACACACTCACACAATCCATGTGTGTGGTCTTAAGGGTTTATTAGAGCCCATTTACACGGCAGCGGACCTTGCAGGTTGCCGTTTACGACTCGGATATGGACACACGTGAGTCAGCCGTGCTGTTGTTGCTAAAACGCGGCCAATCCCAATTGCATTTCCAGATATAAAATTGCTTGTAACGGTGAAAAGTTTCCTAATTGCAACGGATGAAATGGATTAGCCCCCCTTTTTTTTTTCTTCTTCATTATTTCCTAAGAGCGAGAAAAAAAAAAAACATCCCGAAACAGATCGCGGTCCAAACCCACTGGTTCCACTTTCTCAAACTACGCATATACAATCTAAAGACTGTTTTTCCTTGCCCGCCATGTTGGCATCATTTGTGGCTTTGTTTCCATCTTCCGACACGAACATTTTCAATGATGTTTCGGGGCGCAAACAGGCAAAAACGCAACACATGGGCACCCAACCGCACGCGACCATTTGAACACTCAGTCCAGTCCACAGGACGGTTCCACATCTGGGAGCAATGAAGTTTAGACCCACACAATGTGTGTGTGTGTGTGTGAGAGTGAGTGTGTGAGAGAGTGTGTGAGAGAGAGAGAGATGAAGGAAGCGTTTCTGACGTTTTTCTGCGCCCCTGACGTTCCGTGACGTCCCGAATGCTGTGATCTGTGGCGACACAGGCTGGCCGGTGGCCAAGGCCCCCCCGGCCCCTCTCTCTCTCTCCCCCCCTTTGGCCCCTGCTCGGCAACGCAAAATGGGACTCGTCCAGCCCTGAATTTTAGAGTCAGATGGTAGCGATTCAGAGGGCCCAAACCGCAGGGTATAATCACCGAGGATCATTGAATGCAAGTTGTCATCATGCGCAGTTTTCGTTCTGACACGCTCATGCATGCGTGCCCTTTTTTCCTCTTCTCCTACATTATCGAACCGGGTTCAGTTTTTTGCCCCCCCCCCCCCCCCCCCCCCCCCCCCTCCAAGAATCCATCCATTCTTCCAAAGGAATAGACTTTGTGCAAATATATCAAACATCCTTAACCACTTAAGCCCGCGTGTGTTCAAAGGCGAAGCGGCTCCCTGTAACTCGCTGGAGTGTGGAGGGAGACGTTTGTCATTACTGAGGGCAAATACAGGCCCCAAGAGCTCCTACGGGCTGATTAGAAGTAAGCAGAAACTGTAATCAGCTGCATGAAATTTTCTTGCCTCACGTTGCCTTTAAGGACTTGAACCGAAGAAAGCTTGGCCGAGTAAGTCGTCCTTCCAGTAGACCACAATTTGACTTTTTTTGCGGAGGGGTGTGTTGATTTTTTTTAAAAACAATTTAATCCGTATTATGCTTTACACCATTCTGCGCACCTCAGGTTATTGTTGGCAGACGCTCCGGTGTAGCGAAAAGCATTTTTCGCCGTCGAGGTTTTGCATCTCTGGGGTAGGTCGGTTGGAAAAGAGCGGAAAAATATGCGTAGCCGAGGGGGAAAAAAAAAAAAAAACGCGACACGTGCAAAGGCCCGGAAGCCACAAGTGAGCGAGCGCTGGTCAGTCGGGGTCCACCACAACCTGAAAGACGCAGGAAGTCACCCTTTTTCGATTCACTTGGCTCCACGTTTTTGACTTGAATACGTTTGATAAAACAAACAACTTGGCAACTTCTCCGCACCCGTCCCGTCGTATAATTCGATTAGGATAATGTGATTTTCATCGGTATGTTAACAAGGGAATGAAACGATGACAGCAAAGTCAAAACAAAGTGAAAGATAACTGCACAACCTGGAATAAGCGCAGGCTGGTAGTTGGCGGTGCCGTTCGGAAAAGAAACTTTACACTCGTGCGATACAACTGCTGTGCTTGTGGCTCTTTTGAATTAAAAACAACAACAACAAAAATGCTCCAACATAATTCAATGTATTCCGATTTT